TATTTAAAGTGCTGGACTTCCACATGGCCGACCATGGTTCAAGTCCCAGACCTGGTGGCTTGCTTTCTCATTTTCTCTCTCTCTTCTCTCTGGTGAAGTAAATTATTAATAATAATAATAATAACAACAACAAAATAAATAATTAAAAATTTACATCTTTTCTGCAGTTCTAAATACAGTGGGAAGGTAAATGTGTAGCTTCTATAACATCTCTCCTGTAGGTTCCCTGCTTCTAATATGCTTAGCAAAAAATGCCCCCTTCCCTGGGTGTTAAAAGGCAGAAATGACGAAGGAGAAACGGGCAGAGAAAGCTGACAGGGTGCATGGGTGGTATACACACGTGGCCGTGCTTGAGTGACATACCATGTGCAGGTGACCTGAGCGAGTGAAGGAAAAGACTTGTATTGCGTTTCTGTGGAGAATGAGGTCTAGAATCTGGACGGAATAACCGAGTAGCCCATAAGCTTCTACTTCACATCAGGACGTCGGAGTCTCCAGGATGCTTGACTTCATGGATGTTTTCCATCATTTACATGGTTTTTAATGAGCATAAAAAAAAGGTTTTATTTAGCATTTCGTGGCCTGAGAATGAAAGCTGGCATTAATTTCAGCCTTATGGCAAGAGCCAAATGGTGGATGAATAATGCAATATCAAATGAGACCTACATTTTCTCACCTCAGTGTTAATGGTAATGACGTCCGAGGACTTGATCGGAAAAGCTCAGAGTGAAGATTATTACGATCTTGGGCTGCTTTAATAAGTGAGTCCGTCCTGTGGAGAGAATGTCTCCTTTAAAACAGGTTCAGAGCATGGCAGTCAGGGAATGATTTCGCCTTGATTAAAATTTTTCTTCATCTATTCAGTCAGCTCCTTATCTTGATTTTTCAAGTAGAAAAGCCTGAGAATTTTAAGTGTTAGTGAACCGTTATGGAAATGTCAGAATCAGGAAACGTTAAAAAGCCAAACTGAAGATCCAAATCAGTAACAATTAAGAACCTTCCGAATTTGAAGCAGGTTAGAGTACTGAATGATCAGACCTAAATTTTACATGTGTCTTCCTAAGGACTATGTGGGATTTCCTTGTCTTTGCAGAGGCAGCTTTTTCAGGAAGTTTTTTTAAAGCTTATTTATTTCCTGAGAGAAGAACAGAGGCAGACAGACACGCCTCTGCCAGGGTCTCGCCAGGCCGTGATCCTCCTAGCCTTCTCTCCCTCCCTCCCCAGCCACGTTCACGGGGCCCAGTGTACTCAGGCCGACCTGGGAACTAAGCCCACGTCCCACGTGGCTCCAGCACCGCTCAGGCCTCACCTGCCACGTGTGTCACCACGGCTGGGCCACGTTCTTCCTCTCAGTCCCTTCTGAATTTAAGGGAGAAGGGGAATGGGGTGTGTTTGGAAGGCTACTGATGCTACATTGTATTTCCAACATCAAAACAGACCTGTGTGTTATCTTATTTTTTTAATTTTTAAACTTTATTCATTTCAATTTGACCAGAGAGGGACAGAACAAGAGAGAGGGAAAGTAAGAAAGCAAGCTGCCAGGTCCTGACCTCGAACCACGGTCAGCCACGTGGGAGAGTCTGGCATCCTTAACCACCATGCCACCTGCTGCCCCGTTGTATATTTTTTTTATAACACATTCTATATTTGTCCCACACAGTCATTGTTTAGTGCTCTGCGGTTATTTTGGAGACTTGTTTTTAGCCCACTCCTCCTCCTCGAATGAAATCTTCCTTCACATCCACTTCATTCTTTAGTGCTCTCTTCTCCTTTTGAACCATACACATTAAAATAAAAGATGATTTGGGGACCGCGGTTCACGTCCCAGACCTAGTGGCTTAAAACTCACGCTGGGCATGTGCGTGCGTGCCCAAGATCCTGAGAGGAGAATCGAGGAGAAGGGATTGATTGTGGCATCGCCACTCCCTTGGGGGTGATTTCTCGTTTCTGTCTCTCTTGTCTCTGTCTCTCTGGCGAGTACACACACCATATAGCAAAAATCTCTAAAAAAAAAAAAAATGATTTGAATGTTTGTATTTAAGAGCAGAATACATATAAAGAGACTTTTGTATAATAATGTAATATATAATTTATATAATTAGTGTGTAGTATATCAATATATTTTTTTTCTTTTTGGGGGGGGAGAGGTTTTTGGTCTAGGGCACGTGCTCTCACCAGAAAGACAGAGAGAGACAGAAAGCGAGAAATCACCCCCTAGAAGGGATGGCCACACCACAATCCCATCTCCTCCATTCTCCTCTTGCGATCTTAGGCACGCACGCACACGTGCCTGGTGTGAGTTTAAGCCACTGGGTCCAGGACTTCCAACTGCGGTCGACTACATGGGAGTCCAGCAACATAGCCATTATGCTAACTGCTGGTTCCATATATCAGCATTTTTATGTGAAGATCTCATCTTTAGTTCTTTCTAATACACTGGTTTTATTCAAGCTATAATTGTTCTCTAGGAATATAAGAAAACTTATAATGAGCAGGCTTAGACTTTATTTGGAATTTGATACTAAAATATGTTTACTTTGCATAGGTAACATAGCTGTTGGCCTCCATCGTTTGAACTTGTTTTTATTTTGCATTCTTTATTTTACAGTACTTATATTTTATTAATTTTATTTTATTGAATGGTTTATTGTTCTTAAGATCTATGAGACTGTCCTTTACGATGGCACAAAGCATGTCCTTCCATAAAATTAACACTGTTAGCAAATTAGAAACAACTCTTTACAAATCACATTGTCATAGATTTGAAGATTTAAAAATAGCATATGATCTATGTTATGATAGCCCAAGGAGAATCAGTTAGAGATGGTGTACTTCCAAAAATCATGTAATCTAATTTAGACATCTGAGATTGCACGCTAAATCCCCAAGCTCCTTTTAGAATATATTTTATTTTTATGTTGATTTTGATTGTTACTAAAAAGTTTCAGAAATCAGCTAGGATCTGAAGAAAGAATTGAATCCTACCCCTTTCCATCACTGTGCCTTAATTTACTTTTGTTTATGTAATGAGCAGTCTTTGTAAAGGGTACATTCTATTCCAGCCTAAGTCCTAGCCATTCTTCAGTTATAACTTGTTAACTCTAGCTCCAGCGGCTCAGTGAGCGCTGGAGAAATGTTCCAGAGTTGGGAAGGGAAGAGGAGGTTAGAGGGCTAGATGAGCATTGAGTTCTGTGCCACGTGCCCATTGCATGGTTGGGAACCCCAAGCTGGGAAAAGAGTCTGGCCTTCTGGATTTGCAGAGGACCAGGGGCTGAAGCCCCTCTCAGGGCAGGACTGCCAACCAGATGGGCAGAGGCAGACGCCGCTCCCTGCCCTGGAGTGCAGCATTTTTTCATGGTGGTGGAGGTTGGCATCTCACTGCATTTCATCAGCTTAGACGTCGCTCTCTTAGTGCTTGCGCCTTGTTGTAAACAAGAGAGGCAAGAATTTGTATATCTTAAGTGCCTTTTTTTTGGGAAGAGATTTTCGCTATAGGGCATGTACACTCCTGAAGAGACACAGAGAGTGAGAAATCACTCCCACCCTGGGGGGGATGGCTACACCGCAGTCCCTTCTCCATTCTTCTCAGGATTTTAGGCATTACGCACACATGCCTGGCATGAGTTATAAGCTCCTGGGTCCGGCACTTGAACCAGGTTCAACTATGTGAGAATCCAGTGATGTCCAGTGATGTATCCATTATGCCGCCTGCTGGTCCCAAGCACATGATACTTTTAAGCAGGATTTTTTTATTTTTTTATTTTTTTGTACTTGGTGACTACAGTTATGAAATTAAAGCTAGATGCGCAACTAATTAATGGGACAGTGTTGCTTGAATATGTAATGGCTGTATCATGGATGATGCAACATTTTGGAAATACTTACCCTGCTATTGCTCTTCATGTTGAGAGATAAATTTCTTTAGTGGTGGTCCAGCGGGTGGAGTGGTGGTTAAGGCAGCTGGATCCCACCTGGCTGACTTTGTGGTCAGATTCCAGATCCTACAGCTTGAGCATCATGCTGGACACCTGTACGTGCGTGCCCAAAGTCCCAATAGAGGGAGATATGGGAGAAAAATGGTGGCATAGCCTCATAGGAATGGTGCTTTTTCACTTTTCCTCTCTCTGTCTCTCACTCTCTGGTGAACACCTGTGCCCTTTGGCATGCGTGCATGCATACATGCGTAAATAAATACATACATACATACATACATCCCAAGTAACTCTTCAGTGGCTCTCTGAACTTGATGCATGCATACATGCGTAAATAAATAAATACATACATACCAAGTAACTCTTCAATGGCTCTCTGAACTTGAACACTTGTTTTCTGCTCATTTGGTACCATCAAGACCTGCTCTTGTCTGTCAATGAGAAAGACTCACCATACTGAAGTTTCTTAATGGGGGTGGCATGGTGGCTAAAGGTGCTCGACTCCCACATGACCGACCATGGTTCGAGTCCTGGACCTAGTGGCTTGCTTTTTCACTTTCCATCACTCTCACTCTCTCTCATTCTGTACCTCTCCAGTCAAATTAAAATAAATAAATATGATACAATAAAATAATTATTTAAAAAAAGAAATTTCTTAATGGAAAGAGAAGTGGCAAATGAATTATACTTATTTATGCTAGCTCTGGCTGTTACTGCTTTTTTTCTGTAATGTAGGATATATAAACAGACCCCAACTGCAGGATTCTTCCCATCTTCAGTCTTCCTGCTACAGTTTCTCCTATTTCTCCGAATCTGGCTGAGGTTTTTTTTTTTGTTTGTTTGTTTTGTTTTGTTTTGTTTTTTCAATATTCCTGCTAGTTACATGAAGAAATATTAACAACTGGTTCCAGGAATCCTCTGGAGGCAGTGCAGATGCCCAGCGACCCCGCTGGCCCTGCTCTTGTGGCGTTCACGGGGGAAGCGTCGCGTCTGGTGTGATCACAGAGCTGTCGGTGCAGCTGTGAGGAGGAAGCGGGACGTGACGCGCTTGTGATTTTGTTCCTGCAGAAAGCAGAGGAGGAGGACGTCGTCCTCACGCCCGATGGCACCAGGGAATTCCTGACGTTCGAAGTCCCGCTGAATGATTCAGGATCTGCCGGTCTCGGAGTCAGTGTCAAAGGGAACCGGTCCAAGGAGAACCACGCGGATCTGGGCATCTTCGTCAAGTCCATAATTAATGGAGGAGCTGCGTCGAAAGTAAGCCAATGTCCACTTGATCAGGCGTCCACCTGTAACAAGGCGGGGCTTTTGGGCACATACTGTGCCCAGAACACCAGGGGCAGTCTCAGTGAGGCGACCTCTGAGGACGGAATACAGAAGTAAACTTTCTATTTCACAGGCCCGTGGCCCATGGTCCTGCTAGTTACATGAAGAGACTGTGCCTCTCGGACTGGGTCCTGACGCAGAGCGGTGTGCGAGGAGGTCCCTTCCCTGCCTCCCTGCTGGGGGCTGGACTGGGTCCTGACACAGAGAGATGTGCGGGGAGGTCCCTTCCCTGCCTCCCTGCTGGGGGCCTGGAGACCACTCCTGCCCTGGCTCGGGGTGCCCTTCTCCGCAGCCCTCCTGCAGCCTGGTCGTGGGCTGTAAACACCCTCTGTGGTTTCCGGAAGTAAGAAAGTAATCGCTTTGTGTCCTTGGAATTAGTATGCTATTTCGTAAACAGATTAGGATGATGGCCTGATTTACAGACGTGTAAAGGACTGGAATGGGCACGGCTACAAGGACTGCGTAGATGACGCTAGTGTTCAGTGGGGCATGGTCCATGAGGATTCGAGCTCCCTCCCCACTTGTTTTTCTGCTTTGTTTTAATTCAGATGGAAAGCAACTTTTATAACCGACTGTTTAATAGCACTTGTTTTTACCTGTTCTCTTCCCAGGACGGGAGGCTTCGGGTGAACGATCAGCTGATAGCCGTCAATGGAGAATCCCTGTTGGGCAAGACAAACCAGGATGCCATGGAAACCCTGCGAAGGTCTATGTCTACCGAGGGAAATAAACGGGGAATGATCCAGCTTATCGTGGCCAGGCGGCTAAGCAAGTGCAGCGAGGTAAGGAAAGTAGTGGTGTCTGAGCGCGCAGTGAGACCGCAGCTCTGTCCCGACCCTGGTCACAGAGGTTCTGCGTGTTACCTCGGAAGACCATAAGTCACCTTTGCTTGCTGAGGTGGGATGGTTTTGCCAGTGAGTGGGGATTGGCTTTCTTAGTTCTGTGATCAAAATATTCTAATGCACCTTAGCATTCCTCTTGTCCGCTCCACAGGTAGCACAGGGACCCTGAGGCACCCTTAGCTCAGGTGTCTTCTTGCACACAGACCTTCTTCCTAGAGCCAGTGGTTCCTCTGAGGGTGAGCAGAGTCCTACCTGGAGGTGATAGCCTGGGGGGAACCTCGCTTATTCATTTGCATATCTATCAGGTCCTCAGAAAAGTCATGATGTATTTTTCTATGCAAAAAAATGTCATGACTTTTCTGACAAAGGGATGCCTCTTGTCAAGATTGGCTTGCAGGTTGCTGTGCTCCTGTGTTTTGGCAGGAGTGTAAGCCTCCCCTTTTCCTCACCCCCTCTCTCCTTCACCCTGGGGCTTGGCCTTCCCCTCCAGGGCCTTCTTTGTCAGCTTAATGCCCTGGCTGGTCTCGCACAGGGCACTGGAGTGAGGCTTCAGACACCGGTGTCCTCTAGGAAAGGGGTGTTTGTCTCTTTTCCTAAATAAGTAAAAGCGCACTTTCTTTTATAGTGGGGCATTTACAAATGAAAACTAAATTCTGGATGGCCTTGGTCATAAATATTGGAACCTAGGAAAAAGCTAAATTTCATAGGTTCATTATAAAATATGTGGCATTTATTCAAAGTAGGTCAGATCTGATCATTTGCAGAGAGCCTATGGAAAATAGTTCATTGTTTTTGTTTTTATGGATGCCCAGATCCCCATAATTTGAAATCAACTAAGATAAAATGTTTACTGAATCATGTAAATTGAAATTTATATCTAAATTATTAGTTTTTTTTAAATTTTATGCAATTTTCTAATAAACGTATAAAGCTAGCTTTGTAGGTCCTGATGACCACGCAACACTCTAATACAATCCTATTTTAAAATGAACATGCATTCTTGAGGTCAGCAAATAGACATTATAGAGGAGACCAATTTTGAAAAATTGGAGCCAGCAGGTTGCATGGTGCTTAAGACCCTGGATTCCCACTTGGCCAACTGTGGTTCGAGTCCTGGACTTGCCAGCTTGCTTTTTCACCTTCCCTTGTCCTCTCTCTCTGTCTGTCTGGTCAAATTGAAAAATAAATAAATACATAAAATTAATTAAATCAATCTTAAAAGAAAGATTATTGACCATTGATTAATGTTAGATTGTTTTCTTTTTTAAAGAGTTATTTTATTTAATTTTATTCATTGTCATTATTTTATTTTATTTTATTTTATTTTATATTTTGAAGTCGACTAGAGAGAGACAGAGCGAAAGAGAAGGAAAGTGAGAAAGTAAGCTGCCAGGTCCGGGACTTGAACCGGGGTCAGCCATGTGGGAGTCCAGATGCCTTAACCACCATGCCACCTGCTGGTTTGTTAGATTGTTTCTGTTTGCCAAATATAGAATTAGTTCAGAGTAATTAACAGATTATTAATAAGATAACAATATAACCTTAACTAATAATCTCAAAAGGAAGAGAGGGGATTTGGACATTGACTTGTACAACTAAGTATGAAACCTAATTCCTCAGTGTAGACTACTGGACTGCTGTTCTTCACTAGTAGCTGCATGAGTTGCCAAATCACCCACTGGTCTCATTTATATATATATATATATATATATATCTAGCAAATTGCTTCTCATTAGTAAGTCACAAGACGCATCACTGAGATCTTTTTCTTTTGACCAGCTTAATACTTTCACTGCGGGCATAGATTCATTCAGTGGGTATTTACTGAGCATCTCTTTATTCGATGTTAGAAAATGTGTTAGAACCTGGGGGTACAGTGGTCAATAAAACAGGTGGGGGGCTGGAGCCTTCTCATAGAACTTGTATTCTCCTGACAATATATCATTTTTGTAGTCTCTTTAAAAACTAAAATTTGTGACACTTTTTTTGTTTTTTAAATGAGAGATTTTTGCTGTAGGGAGTGTGTGATTGTTTGGAGAGACAGAGACAAAAAGCAAGGAACCCCCCACCCCCCCGGGGGATGGCCATGCCACAGTCCTCTCTCTTCCATTTTCCTCTTGGGATTTTGCACACACATGCACATGTGCACGGCCTGAGTTATAAGCCACTGGGTCCAGGACTTGAACCATGGTCAGCTACATGGGAGCCAGCTCTGTAACCATTATTCTATCTGCTGGTCTCTATGACACTTCTTAAAATTGTCCTTCATAGAAAACACTGAATGTTTGGAATCAAAATGTCAGAAATGAACTGAAGATCAGTACTGCACTTTCATCAGATTCGTAGTCCTCCCTGTTGTTCTCCAAATACTTGCAAAGCAAAACGTGCACTAGCCTGAAAATATTTTGATAAAGGCACTGACTTCATTCCCTGTTGCCCTGTGAAAGACTTGAAATTGGAATCCCACTGAAATTTCTCTGTGTTTCATTCACTTCTGCATGTCAATTTATGTGAATGAAAATGATTTAAGTAAGGGAACAGCTGCAATAGACAGTAATAGACTTTAATATTCAATATTCCTTATGGTATCATTTTCATACATTGCTGGTTATTACTGTTTCTTAGGACAGAATAAGCTTATAAAGCAATTATATCAAAAAAAAATCTTATCACGAGTGTCTTGCTATCTCTGTAATACTAGCGAGAAGCCTTTTGTACTGACAGGGTTTAACTAAGGAATTATATGAAGACAGAAGAGCTCAATTCAGCTTCCCAGAAGGCACAAGACATGATTTTGCTGCTGTTGTACTTATATTATATATTACCTTTGGAAACCTTCCCTCTGCGTCACTGGGAGGGTTTGTGTAAATTGTGTTATAGTAAATATTGATAGAAGCGTAGGGTGGCTTGCCATCGGGAATGAACCGCAAGCCAAAATAATGTGCTGGAGTTTGCGCCTTCTGGGTCTGTTAGTCAGCTGTGCAGTGCAGTCTTTGACGGCACCCTAAAGCTGTATTTCACTATCTCATTCTTTAAATGAATGGTTTACTTCATTTTAAGCTGACTTGAGAATTTACAAAAGAAACTCTTTTGCACTTCATCACGTTTCTTCTCCTACGCGTGTCAGTTCTGTGCATCGTCATCTTCGTATGCTTTCTCTAGAATGGTTCCTCGACTCTCCTTATCTTCCTGAGACCCTGCATCTCACTAATACTGGTCCCCAGACAGCACGCTGGAGGCGTTCCGTGGGAACCGTTCCTGCTTTGTTGTGCTCGGCCCTTCAGGAACCCCAGCACCACCTGCTTGTCAGGAAGTCTCGTCCCTGGCCTGCTCTGGTTTTCTGCTTCTAGACTCAAGCTCCTCTCTCTCCTCTGGGGCGTCCTGGTTTCTACCTGCTCTGGTCTGGCTCGTGCTTCTCAAGGCTGTTCCTGGGCTGTTGTTGCTCTAACGAGCTCTCTCGCTGATCTTGCTACTATTGAGATTAATTCTCTGTCCGTCTCTACTCAGAACTGAGACCCCTCTCCCCGCAGCCCGCGGAGATACTTGCCATGCATCTCCCAGGCATCGGTCTCTGCCATGGAAGCTTCAGACCAGGAGTCACCTTGGACCGCTCAGATGCTGTGTGTAGCATCACTCCCTGAAGGATGTCTCCAGTCGGGCTATCCCTCTTACTCATTCTCTACACTGAAGGCAGGGGGATTATTCTGATTCTGTCACTCCCTGCTGAAATCTCTCCTGGGCCGCTGTGTGTCTGCAGGATGGGTGCTAGTGTCTGTCTCATGGCCACACTTGGCACGCCCGCTCTAGCCCTGTCCCCCTCCTGCCCTGTTGTCCTCTAGCCCCGTCCCCCTCTGGCCCTGTCCTCCTCCAGCCCTGTCTCCCTCCTGCCCTATTGTCCTCCGGCCCCTTCCCGCTCCGGCCCTCTCCCCCTCCGCCTCCTTGTGCAGTCAACTCCCACTGCGCAGGCTCCTCACTTCCCAGGCATGGGAGGTACCCTGGTTCGGTCTTTGCTTGAGTTCGTGCTGCCCCTCGTCCTGGCAAAGGCCCTCTCGGCCCTTGGATTCCAGTCTTCTCTTCCCAGAGTGTTTCCACGGCCGTGTGTGTCCCACAGCCAGCAGGTGTCTCACTGCATGCTTCCCTCTTTGTTTTCTTTTGCTAGAACTGTCAATTCTGTGTTCAGACCTGGGCCGTCCACTCCTTCTGGCTAGCTGTCACTGTGTCCAGTCAGGGCCTGAATTGGTGACAAAGAGTGAATGCTAAGGGAAAAGGTTCTGCAGAGTCTGACGTTTTCAGAGAAAAGGAGAACTTAGTTAGGGTTAGAAACCAGGTTCTGAGGTAGCCCCTGAGCCAGGGGGTAAGATGAGTTTTTGGCAAGGAGTCTAGATTCCCTTTGCTTTCTTTCCTGAGCTCTAATGCCTTTACTGAACTGCATTTGAGAGCAATCAACTATTCCCTTTTGTTTTAAGAAACGGAAATGTCTCCCTTCTGTTATGCTCCAGAATGATGGCATAACTGCTTTTAGGTAGGGAAAAAACGTTAAGTCCTTCTATTTTTCCTGTTTGGCTATGGAATAAAAACAAGAAGAGAAAAACTTGTTATTACTTACCCCCGGGGAAGATTCGTTGAAGACAGTGACAGGGCAGATGGCAGTGGGAGGGCATGCATTGCACTGACCCTTGAGTACTGAGAGTAACTTGGGTATTGGCCTGGCCTCATGGCTCAGCAGTAAAGAGAGCTGGATCCCATATGGCCAACTGGCAGTTCAAATCCCAGCCCCTGAGGCTTGAGGAACATGGCCGGAGACTTGGGTGTAGCCCAATCCCCATAGGATGGAAATCGAAGAGAAGGGATTGTGGTATAACCACTTCGCTTTAGGGCTGCTTTCTTCCTTTCCCTCTCTGTCCATCTCTATTTCTGGCAATTAAAAAAGGAAAATGTAT